CCCCCCCCCCCCATCCTTCATAGACCTTCTCCCTAGTGCATTTAATCTTGTCTTGGCATTTACTTCTCAGAGACCCAAATTGACACAGCCATAATTTCCCTGATGTGAACCAGGCAAAAGCAAGCATTTTTTCATCAGTGTTCTCGTAGCCCTCTGTGGATGCCTTGGTTATAACACATACCACGTTTTACCTTTGCTGCTGCCGCTGCCACCATATGTCTGTCTCCTCCACTAGACAGCTCCTTAAGATCAGGCTCTGTGTTTCTCACACTCTGGTTCCCCTGGATTTGTGCCTGTTGAATTGAATTGGGCCCATTTATCCTTTGAGGGGCTAAGCAATCCTCTCTCCATGTGACCAGTATTAAAGGAAGGCATGCTGCATGTCTTTGGTCAAAGTAAGATGCAACTATATTATGTGTGCATGGGACATGGTATCCATCTGCCATTAATGATGCAGTTAAATTCAAACACTTGTCCACCAACGGTCCACTTAGATTTTAAGCAGTATGGTGCCCACAGTCTTTGTTTGTTTTCCAAACAGGCACTCTGCAGTACATGGCGCCTGAGATCATCGATCAAGGACCTCGCGGGTATGGTGCCCCAGCTGATATCTGGTCCCTGGGCTGCACCGTCATTGAGATGGCCACCAGCAGGCCCCCGTTCCATGAGCTTGGCGAGCCGCAGGCAGCGATGTTCAAAGTAAGATACGCCTGGTGATTTAGGATGCTGGTGTTGGGGAAATAGAATTAAAAACAAAATCCCCTCTCAATCCAGAAAACCTCTCCACAAAGTTAGGAGAGAAGGAAAACAGTTTTATTATTGAATGAGTATTAAGTCAGAATGTGAGTCACGTCACAGGCAATCTGCTGAGATTGCCAAGACAGAAAGAAAACTCACTATTATATAGCCAGGCAAATACAACCCACTACATCCGTGTTCTCAGGATGAACTGATGATGACAGCACCATTTGTCACACATAGCTCATCTTAGATTCACCTGGTAATTGGGGTGACCATTTGTGTTAGCTAATTGGCTTTATACAAAGGAAAAAATTAGCTTCTCATATTTTTAAGACAGGAAGTGCTTTTGGAACCACTGAAGTTAGGCACCCACCCTCCTATAGAAACTGGAAGGTAGAGACACTGTCTTCCTTGACAATGACATTTCAAAGAGATGGCTCCCAGGTCCTTGAGAAAGACATTTCTGGCAAGAGGTTTATGTAGCTGTTAAAAAGATTTACATACATCTCATGGAGACAAAGAACTTACAATTATAAGTTCTCTAAAGTTAGGGCCGGCCTGGTGGTGCACTGGAGAGTGCGCCACTTGGGAGTGTGGCTGCGCTCCCGCCGAGGGTTCGGATCCCATGTGGAGACCGGTTCCCGCTCACTGGCTTAGTGCGGTGCGGGCGCAACACTGAGGGTTGCGATCCCGTTGCCGGTCCCTGGTACGGGCGTGACACTGAGGGTTGCAATCCCGTTACCGGTCAGTAAAAAAAAGACAAAAAGGAAAAAAAAAAAGTTTTCTAAAGTTAATGCTCTAAGAAAAGTGGGGGTGGGGGGAATCCTCCTATTTTCAGTGTTAATTTTCATTTGCATTTGCCCTTACGTTGGGTAAGGCCCAAAGGCCAAGTGAGGTCTGTGTCTTTGGAGGACACGTTTCTGATTGGATTTTGGAGAGGTGGGACTTTGGGTATCAGGTAATGTGTCCTTTATCATTCTAACCACCCTCCCCCCCACCAGAGATAACAGGAAGGGCAGTCCATGTGCTGAGGCCAGCATAGGAAAGATTGACCAGGATGGATGGCAGTTTGCTGCTGGGCAACTGACACCTTGGAAAGGGACGTGTTTGCTTGTGACCCCACAGGAGGCTGATGCCAGGCCATCCCTGTGCACCCAAGGTCAGCTCTGCTGTTTCTGGCTCCATGTATACTTAGAAATGTTGAAAGGGCTCTAGCACCAAGAGTCCAGCATCAGCACTGACCTTCCAAGGAGCATTTCTGTTCACCCCAAGAGTGAGGTTGCAAAAGGCCAAATGGCCATTTCTTATGGGAAATGAGGCCACGGCACATCATGATTCCAGAGGCCTCTTCCTGGCTTCTCTGGCAAAGATGGTGGCCCTGCAGCCTCGTGGCCTGCATGTTGGCTGGACCCTTCAGCTGGCCTCTTCGGCAGGAAGCACACAAAGGTGTGAGTGCAGGTTTCTGCCCATGGAGGCTCGCAGTGCTCTGTGCTGTGGGCGCCCTGTGCTCTCCTCAGCCTCGTGGGCCACTGCAGGAGGTTCTCAGAGCTTCCCACGCTTGCTCCAGCTGCTCAAGAAGCTCCAAGACCAGGATCTAAAGTCAAGAGTCTCCTGACACCTGTAATCCCAACAGGACCCTTAACACCAGGGCTGGGAGATAGCAATGACCTTCCTCAGCACTTCCATGACTATCCGCGACGGACCCAGCTAGGACCATTGAAGATCTTACCTTGGCTTCCATCACAGGCCTTAGGAGAAATAGCAGCTGGTGCTGAGAAAAAGCCATGGCTGGCTGCTTTCGGATCTGCCGCTGACTTCCTGTGAAACTCGGGAAAGCCAGCTGCAGGCTGGGACTTTCTCAGCTCATCCCCAGGGCCCTAGCAACTCCCTTCTTCCTCTTCCTTCCTCTTGTTTTTGGTCTGCTAATTAGCTGTACAAACTGTTAGAAAATATATTGACTTTTTTTGGATGGCATATGAAGTCAGTGTTTGTTACAAACAAGAAAGTTATTAAATGACGTCCTCTGTGTTATTTATTTCTGGGATTCTTCAGAAAAATTTCAGAATCCTTCAGAAAAAAAATTCAAGAAACTTCTGGGCAGTGTCTGAGACAAAGGAAACCATGTCCTCCCACCGCCAAGGAGACTATTATGGGTTTAATTGTGTCACCCAAAAGGATATATGGAATTCCTAATGACAGTACCTTCAGGAAATAGGGTCTTTCCTGGAATTCCTAATGACAGTACCTTATTTGGAAATAGGGTCTTTACAGAGATAATCAAGTTAAAATGGGATGAGGAGAGTGGGCCTCAATCTGATATGATTGGTGTCCTTATAAAAAGGGGAAATGTGGGTACAGAGACAGACATGCACAGAGAGAAGACTATGTGAGGACACAGGGAGAATGCCATGTGAAGGCAGAGGGTTGGGGTGATGCTTCTGCAAGCCGAGGAACACCAGAGATTGCCTGCAAACCATCAGACGTGAGGAAGAGGTGAGAAAAGATTGCCTACAGGTTTCAGAGGGAGCATGGCCCTGCCACCACCTTGATCTTGAACTTCCAGCCTCCAGAACTGTGAGACAATAATTTCTGTTGTTTAAGTCCCCCATTTGTAGTACTTTAATACAGGGAACTTTTGTGTAACAACTGAGCACCCTTAAAAGTGATGTACTTGCAGGGTGCCAGCAGGCTGGTCACATTTTCTATTTTCTTACTGAGAGCCAGAGAAAAAGCCACCCTTTCCTCTTCTGGTTCTTGTCCTGCATTTTTGTCTCTGTGCCCCCCAGTGCCCGTGGGCACTGCCACGTTCTCTCCCCACCGCTCAGGTGAGGGGTGGCACCTATAACGTGCCCTGCATTTCGGATTTTGGTGGTGGGATTCCACCCAGCGTTTAGTGTTCTCCAAATCTGTAACTCATGACCTGGCCAATCTGGCCATGAGGAGCAGAGTGTCGGAAATGGTCCATGTCTGCCTGGGTCAGAGCTTTGGGGCTGTGAATTCGGTAGGATGCAGTCCCCTTTCTGCAGCACCCAGATCTCAGTGGGGCAAAGGAGGCCAAGCCAGCCCCGTGGAGTGCTGAGGAGCTGGGGATGGGCATGGATCTGGAGGATGGATGGCTTCTATCCCTGGATTGTTCGGTGGGCTTGGAAGAGACATGGGGAAAACCATGGACTTTAAACTCAGAAGACTAGAGAGCCACTTCCAATGGGAACAGTTATGCAGGAGGGGGTTATGCAAGACTTGTCGTGGAAGCATTCCCACGTCACAGTGAGATGCGACAGCTCAGAACCACTCTCGCTCCACTAGGGAGAGTGACAGAGCCTTTAGCATGACGGTGATTAGCTGACCAGAAGTGGGAGGTAAAGCAGACTTTCTAGCAGGAGCCCTAACAGGAAAAGGCAGTGCCCTTCCCTCAGCCAGCTGTGCCCCATGGCAGGAGGGCATGGCTTTGGCCATGGAGGATTACAGTTGACCCTTGAACAACTCAGGGATTAGAGGTGCTAACCTCTGCACAATTGAAAATCTGTCTATAACTTTTGACTCTCCCATAATTTACTAATAGCCTATCGTTGAGCTTATTAACAAATTTTTTGCATATGTATTATATACTGTATTCTTACAATAAGGTAAGCTAGAAAAAGGAAAATGTTATCAAGAACATCATAAGGAAGAGAAAACACGTTTATAATACTGTACAGTGTTTATTTTTTAAAAATCACACATATGTAGACCCACACAGTGCAAACTGTGTCGTTCAAGGGTCAGCTGTGGTTACTTGTCTGTGAGTTGGCTGTCTCAAGGTTTGGACTGCTCATGGTTCAGAGCTGGAGGTTGGGAATGTGGGCTGTGGATGCGTAGAGATTGAGGGTGTGTGGGCATTGCTTGGGGACTCTGTGGATCAGGGAACAGATAACACGCCGTTGAATAACCTCACTTGCGGGATATCCTGGCCCAGGCTGCAGCCTAAGTCCCGTCCCAGTTATTCTGCTGTGTAACAAACCATACCAAAATGTTAGTGGCTTAAAACAATGATTATTTCTCACGGTTCTGTGGCTTGACTGTTGGCTGTTCTGCTGGCCTTGCCTGGGCTCGCTCCTGGGGTTGCACCCCAGTGGCGCATGGCTGGGGCTGCAGCTGGGATGGCTGAGGCATTCTCTCCACGTGGTCCTTCATCCTGGGCTTCCTCCCTGCACAGTGGTCCCAGGGCTCCAAGGCCTCTTAAGGCCTAGGCTCTGCAACGCTCAGAATGTCACTTCCGCCATGATCTGTTGCTCAAAGCAAAGTCACGAGAGGCCAGCCAGAATTCCAGGGATTGGGATATAGACTCCACCCGTGGATGGGAGGAGCATGACCAGAACATTGCAAGGGGCGTGGACACAGGCGAAGGGCACTGGGGCAGCTGTTCTGATCCATAAGCCGCCCCCCATGGAATGGTAGATGTGGGAGCTTTATACTGAAAACAAGTGCCCCAGAACTCACCTGAGGCCTCACTGACCCATCACTACCTCTCCCTTAAATGCAGGTGGGGATGTTTAAGATCCACCCTGAGATTCCTGAAGCCCTTTCAGCTGAAGCCAGAGCCTTCATTTTATCCTGTTTTGAGCCTGACCCCCACAAACGGGTCACCGCTGCTGACCTGCTCAGAGAGTGCTTCTTAAGGCAGGTGAACAAGGGCAAGAAGAACCGAATTGCTTTCAAGCCCTCAGGTGAGGCCTCCCTGGACAGCTGGGGCGGCGCCCTGGGCCAGGTGACTGCCTGGGCCCCGCAGGCTGTCACTCAGAGAGTCCAGCTCCCTGGAGCACTGAGTGTCTCATGTCGTGCCTGGTTTTGTGAAGAGCAGCAGGGATTGCACAGTAGGTTTAGAGTTTGTCAGAACCCAACCAATAAATGTCCCTCGATTTCCTGACGGAGGCACAGGGAGCTTCATGGGTGACTGTGATGTCCCCCTTGTTAAAGCCTGTCCTTTAGGAGTGTGAGGAGGAGGGTGGTGAGGGGTGCCCTGGCCAGGGATTGTGTCTTCCCCACGTGCAGAGCCCGGTGCTTCGTTTTTGGAGCCCAGCCTGTCATCCTGTGCCTACCCTGACCTTGATTAAAGGGTGTGCATCAGGGAGGTTTGCCTGTGGAGGCTGTCCTGCAGGTCACTGAAGCCCAGTGACATTCTGGGGCAGTAAGTGTTAACTGGTCATGATGTAACTATGGCCTCCGAAAAGGAAGCTGTCCTCTCTTCCCGGGTGTGGCTAGGGGTCAGAAGCCATGACAGAGTGGCTCAGCAGCTTGCTCTGTAGAGTGCGACCCCTGACTAGGTGCTTCAGCGTTTCTGGCTGGCCCACCCCAGACAGTTCGCTAGGATCCAGGGGACTGTTTGCACCCCGCTTAGAGCACTGCAGGTGCAGCAAGCCCCATGGGTGGGTCACTTGGGCCCGAGGGGCTGTCAGAGGCTCAGCCCCACCCCAGCCCTGTCTGAGCCTCTGCTTCCTTGTCTGGCTGTCTGTCCCCTCATTCCCCACAGAGGGTGCTCGGGGTGCCCTCCTGGCCCTGCCCGCGTCTGGGGAGTCCATGGGCAGCAGCAGCAGCAAACACGGCTCCATGTCCCCAGACTCTGACGCCCAGCCCGATGCGTTCTTTGAGAAAGCCCAGGTGCCCAAGCACCAGCTCAGCCACCTTCTCAGGTATGGCCCGTGTCCCTTGTCCTTCTGCTGTAGGCCTGTGAATACCTCTCGGGTCAAAGCCAGATGGCTGCGAGGGCTTTTGCTTCTTTTCTGCCCAGGGCAGTAGGGCAGCCACGAGCTGCCAGGGCCAGCAAGGAGGACACTTGATTGCTCGCCGTCGTCCCCTCTTTTCCTGTCCTTTCTCCTCCCTTATCTCCCTCTTCCTCCCTGCCCCCTTCCCACTTCCGCTTCTCTCCTGCCTCTTCTTCCCCTCCACCCCCCGCCACACTGGTGCTATGGGGTAAGACAGAGCACAGCACCTCTCCTCTGTCAGCCTTCTGCAATTTCCTCTCCTTGAGTTTGGGGACTGCACCCCATAGCCCCTCCGCCATGGTGTCCTAACATGGTACACTTCCTGGAGACAGTGCTCCAGGGACTCATGAGGAGTGTCACATTTGTTGCATGTGCTTGTCCTCAGTGTTCCTGATGAGAGCTCGGCCTCAGAAGACCATAGCACGGCCTCATCCCCAGAAGACAGGGACCCGGGCCTCTTCCTGCTGTGCAAGGACAGTGAGCGCCGCACCATCCTGTACAAAATCCTCTGGGAGGAGCAGAACCAGGTGGCTTCCAACCTGCAGGAGTGCGTGGCCCAGGTACAGGCCTGAGGGAAGGCACCTGCTAACCCCGCCCCCTCTGCCCGGCTCCAGGTGCCTGGACAGGTCCAAATAGGAACCGTGGTTTCTGCTGCCCTGGAACGTTTGCATAGTAACAGTGATCACCATAAGTGTTTCCCAATGTGCTTCTCACTCAACAGAAGAAAACACAAAGAAAAAATCTGCTGAAACATGAATTTGCAAAACACTGCGGTGATGCCAGGCATTTGTGGGGCGGTGCTGCCTCCTGGTGGAAAACAAGCCAGATGGCAGCAGAAAGCCCAGGAGGCCAAAGGGCCTTCCAGCCTCTGGCCTTTTCTCACCTTATCCAGGTAGCGAGCCCTGGAGCCGAGTTAATTCCACAGCTCTAAGACACACTAGAACTGCCCTCAGGAGCTGGGAGAACAGCCACTTTAGGGAAAGTGGTTATGGATGAAAATACTTGGGTTTTAACTAGGACACAGTAGTGGCAAACTGATCCTCTTCCCTCATTTTGGATGGGAAAGATCCTTTTAGAAAGAGGCCACTGCCCCACTATAAACTATGCCTTGTGTTGAGGCCTGTTGATGGGGGCCCTTACAAAGAGTTAAAGAGGAAGTTGGAACCATTCACAGAAAGGCTTAGTTGTGAGGATGTGTGGCCACTAGGGAAGAGGTACCAGAAGACCCCAACAGGAAAGATATGGAGGGAATTCCAGGAACAGAGACCCCTACTCACCTGGGCACTGCACAATTCCATTACAGATGACACTCTAATTTCCCATTGATACATCTTGAATTTTCTATCCCTCTCTGACTCACTCAATGAGCATGCTGTGTGTGTGTGTGTGCGTGTGTGTTTGGTCAGAGTTCAGAAGAGTTGCACCTCTCCATTGGCCACATCAAGCAGATAATTGGGATCCTGAGGGACTTCATCCGCTCCCCAGAGCACAGAGTGATGGCCTCCACAATATCAAAGCTAAAGGTGGACCTGGACTTCGACAGCTCATCCATCAGTCAGATTCACCTGGTGCTGTTTGGCTTTCAGGATGCTGTAAGTGCTCCATCAGGCCCTAGAGAGCATGCCAGACCATGGAATTCAATGACCATCTTCTCCCGTAGCCCATATCTCTTCTCATCTGTCTACAACTGACTCCCAAGGTTTGGCAGCTCCTTCTAAACACTGAGTATATAGGTATAGGAAATGTCATCTGGATGAATGGGAAGAGTGTGTTTGGCCACAAAGAACATGATACAGGATTTGAGAACACGTGGCATCTGCCAGCAGAGTAGGTGTGAGGTTTAAGCTTATGCGTCTGCCCAAACATGTGAGTTCCTCCAGACCATGTCTGGTTCATCTTTGTGTCCCAAGCCTCCAGTGCAGAGCCTGTCATTTCATAGGTGCCCGATGACTGCTCATTGAATAAACAACAAAAAGGCCCACTGAGGTTGGTCCGATCACTGTACCCATCTTCTATACCCCAGGATAATCTAGGATCAGCTTAGAGCAAGACTCAGTTCAGAAGAAACATAAGCCAGGCAGAAATCCAGGGCAGCATGGCTAAGACTTTATCTCAGAGTAGAAGCAAATTAGAATTAGTAAGAACTTATATTTCTTAAGTGCAATGGACTGGAAATCTGGGTTTTTGTGATTTTTTTTTAGGTAAATAAAATTTTGAGGAACCACTTAATTAGGCCGCACTGGATGTTCGCAATGGACAATATCATCCGCCGTGCAGTGCAGGCCGCAGTCAGCATTCTTATCCCAGGTAAGTGCCCTCTTTGCAGTCAAGGTCAGCTTCAGGTTATGGAAAAGACCAGAAATATCCTCCGCACTCAACAGTCATTGCTTTCTCTTTACCATCTTGGCTATATACTTCTGCTGTGGATTGAATGTCCCCCCAAAACTCATCGAAGCTTGATCTCCATTGTAACAGTGTTAAGAAGGTGGGAAATCAGACTATGGCAGTGTAGAAAGGTGGGACCTGTAAGAGGTGATGGGATCATGAGGACTGTGCCCTCGTGAGTGGGTTATTCCATTTGTGGAGTAATGGGTTAATGGTTTAGTGGGATGTCACAGGAGTGACACTTGTGGCTTTAAAGGAGAGCAAGTGAGCACATTGAAGAGCTCTTGGCATCCTCAGTATGTGATATCCTGGTCACCATAGGACCATGTAGAGAGTTCCCACCCAGAAGAAGGCCCTCACCAGATGCATCCTGGGACCGTGGGCTTCCCAGCCTCTGAAACTGTAAGAAACAAATTTGATTTTTATATAAATTACCCAGTTTCAGGTATTCTAAGTGACAGAAAACTAATACAACTTCCCTGAAGTTAAGAAAATGCTGTCATAGACCCCTTCTGGGGCTAAGATTTGTGATTCTAGGAACATCTCATGGTGCTGTATTTATGTGCGTGTCCCCTAGGCATAAGGAAGGTGACTGCATACAGACTAAACTCATGACCTAAAAAGGGAGCATTGAGCCCGAGGACAAATATCCTCTGGGCCTCTGGTATCCACTTCAGTGTGCACACTCATGAATGCTTACTGGTTAGGGGACAGTTTAATGGCTCAGTGTCCTCTCTTAGAATCATGGTGTGGCAGCTATAGAAATTGTTGGCTTTTGTAGACTCTCTTTTTGACGTGTTAGAGCCACTTAATACCAAACTTGATTCTTCTACGGGGACTTCTTCCTGTGAAGGAAGGCTTTGAAATGATTCTGTTGACATTGCCACTTCCTCTCTCTACTTGGGTCACCTCCTGCCTGCTCTCCTGAGTGCACTCTGTAGCCCAGGCTCAGCCACCGGAAGCGGCTTGGTAAACCCCAGCAATGGATGACTCTCCCCCTCCAAGTTGCCACCTTTGGGAATAAAAGAACAGGCCTGGTTGGAAGCCTGGTTGTACTTTTTTAAAGCTGTCCTTGGCTAACTTAACATTACTTCATCTGTAAACTGGCAGTGATGATCTTTACACTGTAGAGAACCAAATGAAATGGTCTCCACTCCATTGATAAGGCCAGCAGTCCCCTGAGAGAGTGTTGCATTGGCCAGGCTAGGCTCCCAACAGCCTAGTTTACTGGCACAGGACAGAAGCTACACCAAGCCCTGGCTTTGTTGAAATGCTATTTTGTTAACCACAGTCATTTCTTCTGTGATTTCGCAGAGCTCCAAGCCCACTTTGAGCCTGCCTCTGAGACTGAAGGGGTGGATAAGGACACGGATGAAGTGGAAGAGGACTATCCCCCAGCAGACCTGGCTGGCAGAGAAGCACATGTTGTGTCTGGAGGGAGCAGACCCGGTTCAGTAGTTGTGAAGGAGGCCCAGCCCCACCAGCAGCACCTGAGCCTCCAGCTGGCGAAGCTCAGGCAGGAGACCAACAGGTGAGGACCTTCCAAGCCCTCCTTCTACAGCAGGGGTGGGACAGTGACCTGAACCAAGACAATAGGTTTAGTTGTTGAGTGCCTCCCCCAGGTCTCAGAAAAAAGCATCTTCATAGTCAGTGAACTGGGCAAGGATGTATTATTCTCAGCTTCATCTGAGGAACCAGAGGACTGCCTTCCTTTTTTTTATTAAGAATCAGAGAGGTACAGTGCCTTGCCACAGGCCATACAGAAATCAGCCATACTAAAGGCAGAAGCTTCTCTCACCAAGACAAGGCCCCTGGCATGGTGTGTCCATCCAGCAGGCTCAGCAGTGGACATTTGTCACCTGCCCCTGTAGAAGTAGCAGAGTATTGGGGGGGGGGGGCAGGCAGTCAGCACATTGTCAATGAATACCTATCCCATAACCCTGACCCCGAGGAAGTGTGCCCTTTCATCATCTCCTCCTCGTGATTTGTCGTGATCCCTAGGCAGACTTCAGTGGACTGACTTCCCAACCAGGGGACTCTGGCTCTGCCACGCTCCTACAAGCACACTGGTCTGTTTCACTCACCTTCTGGCACATAGTGGGTGCGCAATAAATATTTATTAAATGATTAAAATGATTCCGATTTGCTATGGAGAATTACATTATCAATGGGCTTTTTAAAAATAGCATCCATAGTTACAGCAAATTAGTTGATATTTGTTCCAGATGATGCTTTGTTGCCAAATCATCAGTGGTAATGCTGATTACTGTTTAACAGGGAACTAAGGTGCCAGGTAGACATATTTTGGGTAAAAAGTTGTATACACCCCCAGAGATCTCTGAAGTTTAATCTTAGGCAGATCTAACCATCTCTTTTAAAAGACCTGGAGTTTTAATTAAGTGGTAGTGGTAGGAAAATCTTGAAAGTTTAAAAACTATGACAAATATGAAAGTTGGTAGTAATGCTTAGCATTTCTTTAAAAACATTTTCCCAGTAAGATTTATAATCAACAAATTCAGGAAATGCCATATATGGGTTCAAAGATTATTCCTGTCCACTGTTCATAGTCAGTCTGTATTTCCTAGTCTTAGTAGAATTAGGAATTGGTTAAATAGCAGCCAGCACGTTAATGCAAATGGCTACTAATAAGCACGCAGTTCCTAGTAGCCTATCCTTATGACATGAGATGCCTTGGCTGTGTGGTAGTTGGGCAGAGGCAGAGGATGGTACCTATTGGACAGAATGTGGTGACTGGGGGTGACTGGGTCTGTCCCAGTGAGTGACAGTCCTGAGCCCTTCCACTGGCAGGGCACAGGCACGAGCTAGTGTCTCCATCGCTAGTGTAAAAGGAGGACTTGTTGAGAGACAAGGATAAAGGCAGGCAGGGGTAGGGCGGGAAGGGACCTGTTGAGTGCCAGTATTTCCTCTGTGCTGTCCTGCTGGGGCAGAAGTGTTCGCCTCTCCCCAGCCCATTCTGCTAGCACATGACCCAGGAGTACCTGTGTTCTCATCTGTGTATTGCTGCAGTGACTTCTCAGGGCAACTTCAATAACTACCTTCAGTAATTTAAATAAAGTTTAGTTCTACATTTCCTAGTTCACCAGCATGGAATATATAAATGAATTAAGAGCGTGGAGTTAGTTAGAAACAAACCAATCCCACATACTAGGTACATGAGCAAACCAAAAAAGCTAACATAGCTCCAGTCTGCCAGGCCCCCTTCCCTGCCCCTAGGTGTGCTACCCCTGAGCTGGCATGAGTGGGACTCAGAAGTTCGCAGCTCGGCTGTGTCAAGCCCTTTCTTGTCCCAGGGAGACCATAAGCAGGATCAGGTGTCAGGAGGCTGTCCTGATGGGAAGAGCCCAGCCTGTGGGACTTTGGGGAAATTACTTAAGTACCCTGTGCCTCAGTTAGCTCTAAAGCTGGAGTTAAAAACTGGTGCTTACTTCACGTGCTGTATGGCTGAAGTGAGTGGACATGCTCTGCACAGGAAGTGCTCGGTGCACGTGAGCAGTAGTTCTCCCAGCGTGCACAGCAGCCTTTCCTTCCCCTGCCCGCAGCTGTTCTCTCAGCCGCAGGGGTTCTGCCCCGTTGGTTTAGTTCCCCCCGTGAGGAGGAAGGAGTCTAACCCTTCTAGTTTCAACTACTTTATTTGACTTAGGGAGACAAGGTTAAATAATCAGATCAGCCTCCTGGCTGAGTTTTGCTGATCAACATCAGATTATTAGTTATCTGTTCATGAAACATTTTCAGACAAAACTGTATTAGTCCATTCGGGCTACTCTAACAAAATACCATACACAGGGTGGCTTATAAACAAGAGAAATTTACTTCTCACAGTTCTGGAGACTGGCAAGTCCAAGATCAAGGTGCCGGCAGAGTCAGTGCTTGGTGAGGACCCACTTCCTGGCTCATGGACTGTGGTCTTCTGTGTCCTCACAGGGTGGAAGGGGCAAGGAAGTCTTTGGGGTCTCACCTCACAGAGGCCCCACCTCCTAATACCATCACCTTGGGGGTTAGAATTTCAACGTATGAATTTGGGGGGGAGTTACAAACATTCAGTCCAATTGTGAAAATATACCCACGTTCTGAGCACTGGTCTTGTCAACTGGCCTTTGTGGTCAGAGTTCCTATTCTTCACAGAACTCTGAAGAAACCAGTCATTTGCTCCCCTCTTTAGGCTGGCTGTTGGTATGGGATTGTGCCATTTTTCATTTTCTTTCAGTCTCTGATGTTCGACCACTGTTTGAGTTGAACTGAATAGTACTGGGCTCTCTGAATGATTTTTTTTTTTTTTTTAAACCAGACTTTTGGGACACCTAGTTCAAAGAGAGAGAGAGTACCAGGATCTTCTACGGCAAAGTCTAGAACAGAAAACTCAAGAATTGTGTCACCTTCAGTTACAATTCCAGTCTAATGGTGAGTCATCTCCCACTTGCTCTGACTTAAGTGTGTTTGTGTAAGAGAAGTTATTTAAAATCTGGCTACCAGTCTACTTAGCCTTAAAGAAACAGTTGAGGTTATCCTCTATTAAATGAGAACTCTAGTTGATGGTGGAATACTACTTGATAATAAAAAGGAACCACTGCTGCATTCAGCGACAGGGATGAATGGCAAACGCAGCGGGCTCAGGGCAAGAGGCTACACGCCGTGAGTCCCGTCATACGGTAGGCGGCCCTCCATCCTCGGAGGTCCTGGAACCAGTCCCCTGTGGATATAAGGGATCACTGTACTCTGGAAAAGGCAAACTATAGGGAGAGAAAACAAATCAGAAAGGAGAAAGGAGGGGACTGATAATAAAAGGACACATGATAAGTTTCTGGGATGATGGAAATTTCTGATCTTGTGATGGTGGCTACATGACTGTTGTGTGTCAAACTTCATAGCACTGTCCACCTAAAAAGGGTGGCTTACTGCATTAAAGTGAACCTCGGTAAAGCTGACATTCAGTGTGTGCCACTTAGAAAAGAGCTACAGCTACCTCTTGGAATGTGGAATGGATAAGTTCTGATGCAAAACCTTAATACTAAACCTATTTCTTTGCTTGACTTTCAGTGCAGTTAGGGATATGATTCCTAAGAAAAGGCATTCTAAAGACAGGCTGATAAGAATTTAAAGTGATAGATATGTCAAATTCCAAACTAACTAAACATGGCATAGGCAAAGATTATTCTCTCTGCAAAGTGAATCTAAGGATTATGAACTGTGCAATATGTATTAGAACAGCTGAAGTATACACGTTTAGTTCATTTCCTTTTCACATCACACTTACATTGTGGAATAGTTTATTACATCCAACTTGTTACTGTTAAAGAATTTCATGGTTTCACATTAATATACAAAAAACAAATATCTACTTGTTACAGATATCACAGAGAACCCAGCACTTCCTCACGGGCAGAGAGCAGATCAAGAGCTTATAGACTGGTTGCAACTGCAAGGAGTGGATGCAAACACAATTGCAAAGGTAAGTTTATAAGCAAAAACAATTCCTGTGCTATTGTTAAAAAGCTGCTCAGCTCTTACATATTTGATCTGTTTTAGATTGTCGGAGAGGGTTACACACTTTCTCATATTCTTAATGATATCACTAAGGAAGATCTAAGATACCTTCAGCTACGATAAGAACAGCCTCAAAACAGTTTGTATAATAGAACATGACTTTTTTCGTGCGACTATGGTTTAAAATAGTTGTAGAAAACAAAGTGCTGGTAACTTTCCCCCTTTCACTGAAATGAATTCTCTTTTCTGTGGCTTAGTCGGAAAACCAACTACCCAATTTCCCTCCAAACTCTGTAGTTTTGCCAGATTCAAGTTGGGAAAAAGCTGAGGTGTGGCAGAAACATAGGAAGGTGACACTGCAGAGCTGGCCCCAGTTCAATCTCCTGCCCAGCTGGGAGTGGTACAGCAAGGCATGAGGTGCCAGCCTGCTAGACTCAACCCTTTCTTCAAACTGCAACCTATGTCCTCGTCCCCATGTCATTTCAAATAGCCAGTTCTACACCAAGCCATAAACACTCCCATACACACTTCTAAAGCCATATCTTAATACTACTGGACACAAGTGTCACCTCCATATGTGAAGAGAACATATTTTTATTTTCATTAAGTTTTTAAGTTCAGGACTGTATTTTTAAGACTAGATAGTAAATCTAAAACTTCACACTATAACTTTTTCCATAACGACTCCTAAAGTATTTTGTTGTTGAAGAAGTTCTCTTTTCTTATGACTCTAAAGATGACTCTTTTGTTTTGTAGTGGTGGCCTCCTCTGTAGGCTCTGGAAGGCGGTCTCCCAGTACAGAAGACAGGCTCAGGAGTCCAAAGATTTGGCTTAGTCACAGTTGGCTAAGCTGGGGTACAGTGAGCAAATATCCTACACCTTTTGTTAGAGCTTCTGTTAATGTACCCACAGACTCTGCTGCATTTACACCAGAAGGATACCCTTGTCAGTTAAAGACTGTCCTTACTAAAATGTTTTTTAAAAACTTGTTATTTATAAACATAGAATGGTATGTATTGTGAGAACAGTGAGCCTTAGTTTTGACATCTCGGGGTACTAGGAAATTCTCAGAAATGAATTTTAATTTACTTCAAAAAAAAAAAAAAATCAGTACACCCTATAGCACTTGCTGGAAGGGTGAAACAATGGGTGTTTTTGTTTAAAAATGACAAAGAGGCTGGGAAATCACTGTTCTAGGTTATACGTAAAGTATCAACTAACTGGCATGGAAGTTAAATTTGAAGAAAAAATCAATATGAATGTGCCTTGTATTTAATGTTTGATGTGAATGTAACTATTAAGAAAATAGCCTCATATTTATATTGAATGTGTAAATGGAGAAAACTAAGTTATTTGGTCTATGAAATGATTATGAAGTAGTCTTATTTAAAAATGGAGTTATCCTTCCACCCCCCGCCTGGTTATAATAAACATTTTGTCGTATGGGGGAGTGACGGTCAGCGTGAACAGGCTTCAGCACCAACACTGCACGCTCCCGGGGGTGGTAGGGCGGGTGCCATCCTACCACATTGGACATAAGACTACTTGTGGGGGCCAGGTCAGTGCAAATACGCCTCTGTGTGGGACACAGCAACGATCCCTCAGGGGAATGATCGCCTCCCACAAGGTGGCAGGGTTGGAGCAGGCATACAAGGAATTGTTCTTCCTTTTTTAGTAACTAGCGAGTATTTGTTAGAAGTATATAACAAAAGCAAATAGAACTATCTTAAAATATTCACACTAAATACTGACGCACATCTTTCAATGCAACAATGTACAAACCGCATGCAATTACTATCCCTTTAATCTACATAGTATTTCATCTTAATGAGTTTACAAGCCTTGTTTTCTGGGGTTTATTCCTCCTTAAAGTTGAGAATGGAACACAAAGAGTTCCTTACAGTTGCTTGTGACGAACACCCACTGCATGCGGCCTCCTGTTAACTGACGGACTTAAACTTGATCCACTGATTGGCACCGCGAACTTCAAAAGGTGGATCACTGGAGTAGATGTGATAGCCTAGTTCCTCCAGAGGCGGCTCTGGATCAGCTGTGGCAAACTGGGCAGCATCCTCAATTTCTTTCCTCACTTCAACATCAATTTCCTACAAATCAGATCACAGTACAAAAGATTGTTGAGTAAACAGTAGCCCAGATACAGTGACTAGAGTTCTACTCAGAACCTGTTGCTAGTTTAATTAGAAGTAGTAACAGTTGCTCATTTTGAAGATTTTAAATAAATGACAAAATTATACAGGAAGATTTTGGAGTACAGACTTCAATATTTTAAAAAAAAAATAGATATATCCCAGAGACTATTTACAAATTAAAAAGCCAAAGTACATTTTTAGGAAAAAACAACTGTGCTATTGGGGGCTTACAGGCTTTGTCAATATGATTAATTGATGTCCTGTGACAGTACATATTTTATTTACTTAGGTAGTTCAATGCCCACCAAATCTTAAGAACAATACTGCAATTTTGAGTAGAAGAACCTAAAAGAACAGCCCTATGGGATTTCAGAATTAATTATGCCCCATCACATCACTTTCTGGGCTTGGACAAACTCACCCATGACTCTGGCCACCCAGGGGTGGCAACTTTTTGTGTGGAGGAAAAACTGATTGCTCAGAAAGGACAGCCAACCTTTAAAACCAGCAAGAGCAACTGTACCTTCAACTCTTCAACACTGGCAAGGTTGCTGTTCACCATTCTATCCTTGAGAAGCATAATAGGGTCACTCTTACTTCTCACTTCCTGAATTTCTTCTCGTGTCCGGTAACTGTAGGGAAGGAAATGTAGGAACAGACAGGTAAGAATGGTTCCATTAGAGCAAATACAGCTCTGTGAAATACAGAAGGATGCTTCTGAACCGCAGGGGAACATCGATACCTATGTCATCATGGGAGTGGCAGAGTTATACTTTCAAAACACAAGAATGCACCTTACAGTCTGTAAGAGCTGCTTACAGCTTTCATAGAAAACTGTACACTGGCAATTCACATGGCTTCTCCAGCGTGCTGACAACAGGGGCCAAGCTTTTGTTTGCTTCTTTGATCTGGATGTAAATGTGTCACCTGTTCCACCTCTTTGGGCTCCTAAATTCTACATGGGTGGGGGCAGTGGAGATGGTTTGTGTGTGGTGATAATTATAGACTTTAAGCCATCAGAATGCCAAACAGGAAATACGTATGCCTTTCTCCCTTAAGACCCCAAAGCAACACGGCCGGCAAAAACTTAGATAACAGGTTGTCCAATTCTTGATTCTATAGTACAGTACAGTCATCCCTCACTATCTTTGGGGGATTGCTTCTAGTACCAACCCCCCCATACCAAAATCTGCAGATGCTCAAGACCCTGATATAAAATGGCATATCTTCACATAACCTACACACATCCTCCCGCATACTTTAAACCATCTCTAGATTTCTTATAATACCTACTACAGTATAAATGCTATGTAAATAGTTTTTATACTATTCTGTTTAAGGAATGACAAGAAAAAGTCTGTACATGCTCAGTACAGAAATTTTTTTCCAAATATTTCCTATTGGCGGTTGGTTGAATCCACGGATGTGTAACCTATGGATATGGAGGACCGACTATGCATTCTCTTCCTACATCAAGTAACACTACAAGCAAGGGCACTACAATTTTTTAAATGGTAAAATTAGACAACATGCATTTTTCCATATAATTTGCGCTCTGTACCATTTTCCCTCAGAAGTCCATTCTACAGACCAAGCCTTGTTTGATTAAATCGACTTCTTTCAAATTGGGTTGAACCTGGGATTGCAGAATTACATGCCAGAGCTACTAAGTGAAAAAGTAGAACTCATATCTTCCCAGTGTAAAGTAGCTTTTTTGATTGATATACTTCAACTTATTGAACACCATGTGTGCCAATTAGCTTCTCCAGACCAGCCAGAACATTTCCAAATTCGATTCTCTTCAGGTAAAGTATGCCATGCATGAATCTGGGGTAATGCCTACAAAAGCTAAATGTCCCCACAAATACTATTCTACCATCAGACCTATTTTATGTAAGTTTCCCTTTGCAACAAAGTTATATAATGCCTTTTTTAAAATCACTGCTCATGCTAACACTTACATACTATATATTGTAGGGATTTTCAGAATGCTTTCTATATTGGAACCAGTTTATTAGGAGGCACTTCTTTCAAACTAATACTCAAATAATTACATGACCCCAACAAAACTAATTCCACGAATGAAGCTAACTTATTTGGCTTCAAAAGCAAATGATGAAAACCTTTGCTTTTTCATGTGAGTAGCACCATTCACAGACCACCACCCACTCTGGAAACCACACTCTGATCTCCCATGACCATACCTGACCCCAGGATCACTCATACTGTGTCCATGGTAACGGTAGGTCTGCAGCTCCATCAGGATGGGTCCCTAAAACGGAAGTCACAGGTGATTAGGTAAGAATGGCATGCCAACAACCCACGGCCTCCAGTGCACACCAGCACCAACGTGTTCTCAGCAGATCTCCTTGTCAAGAATTTCTTATCAGTTGACTGACAACCTATCTGTTCTTGCCTCTAGCCCCTATTTATAGCACGTTTCATCCTCGTTTTTAACAGGAACTTACTAAAGCAATCTGCCAACTGCTTGTTTTGAATGACAAAGGCAATGAGCATGTTACAGAGCCCACTGGCATTAGTTAGGTAGATTTCCACCTCATGCAGTGTTTCGTAGGGGCTGGCAACCAGTCCTGCTTCCCACAGATCTCACTAGTGTGTAACAGAGCTGGCAGGCACTGACACCCTGTAGTACCTAAAGCCCATGGCTCTGCTGGGAGTCTGGCAAGCCAGCTGTGCATCGCCACAAGCCCACTTCCAGAAGATGGCTCTGAAAGCCGAGGGCAGGGGCTGGATGGAGGATCCCTGGTAGTGTGGTGTTGCAATTAAAAGGGGGGGCTGGGCCAGGGGTGGAGCTGGGTCCGAGTCCAAGTGCTTGGGTGCCAATCCAGGCTCTAAGACATAGTAGCCTAATCCATATCAACCCCTCAGTAACTGTCAATTATTCTTTTTATGTCATCCAGTAGCCATCTGGAGGCACACTGTATTTGGCTGGTAGTGATAGGGAGTTTCCAGACCCTCCCCTAATTCCAAGATCAGGCTTTGGTCAGGTTGAAAAAGTCAACATGTTCTATAAACCACTGACGGTGTTTCCACCCAGGTTTGGACCCCACATGTTCTTTCCAGGAACTGGGAGAGATGGGACAATACCCACCACCCGCCTGGCTCCTCAGTCTTGGAGTCTTGATGTGGACTGTTCAGCCTAAAGCAGTCAACCAGTCATCTTAGTCCTGCTCTAGTTTATTTTCTGTAGCTTAATGTCACTGCACTTCCCACCCTGCTTCCCTCCCTCCTTCCTTTCAGACATTTTTATCATTGCTAGCCACATCTGACTTGCATTACTGCCCAACCATATACACACATGGGATGTCATGGAAAGAGAAACCTTGAGAGCATGCTTTCCGAGCTGGAGAACACTGATTTAGGGAGAACAACTATTAAATCTATCCTAGCAATAAAGGAACTTAACCACTTTGTGAGCCAATCTCACTGTTCCCCTCTTCCTCCTTGCCATACACTGAAAGAAGGTTTAGACCTAAACCAGCAACACTAACCACACTATTGAGTTTGTATAAAACAAACTTATATTGAATGCCTACCATATGAGGGGTCTTCAAAAAGTAAATGGAAAGATGCATGTTATCTTTTAATTGTATTTTTCCACAAACTTTCTGAAGTACCTACGTATGAGCAAAGTTCTATGCTGAGCATTGTGGGGATCCCCAATCTGTTCACTCAAGGGGCTTATGATTAATGTGGGGGTGGGGCAGAAGCACATAATGAACCAAACCAAAAGGAAAAATAGACTGTTGTGATGAAGAGAGGGGCAAAATGCTGAGGAAGCACTTAGAAGAAGATTGCCCCCAAGTGGGAGAGACGTGGCATGTTTCTCAGGAGGTGAGCTACCCAGACCATGCCATTGACTTGACTGAACTCTGCTTTGATCTTACATGCCTCAATTAGCAGCTAGCCCTGAATAGCTGTCATAGGCACATGGGAAGCATTCTTTTAACTCTGAGAGAGAGAAATATCATTAGAAATTTTTAGCCTAGAGGCCTACATGAAAGTCTTCAGAGAGTCTTACCTTCCCAGATCTACAATAGGCAGCTGCAAACCTTGTCGCCTCTCGGACACACAAGATATCCATTCCATCTACCTGTTAATAACCGTGGAAGAGGCACAGCATAAATTAAACTGTCCAAAACCATTTACATTTACATGACCTGTTCCTGCATAAGAAAATGAAACTCTTCAATTATTGTCAAGGTTATGTAAAAGGGCATCTGGCTGAGAGGGCACAGCCCTGGCTCTATGATGGGTGTCCTTACCCTCAGCCCAGGAATAAAATCGCCTCTTTTGTAGTAATCAGTGCTGGCTGCCGCTCTCTCAACAGATGTTCCCATTCCATAGCGGTTATTCTCACAGATGAAAATGCAAGGTAATTTCCACAAAGCTGCCATATTGTAAGCTTCAAATATCTGACCCTGGAAGTATTTATAAAAAGTTCAAGTGGTTTCATTGTGCTTATTTCTCTAAACTTCATCATGCATAACAGTTGCTGTTCTACCTGGCACAGAAAGCTTTCATAAAGGATGAAAAGCAGCATCTTCTAAAACCAAGCTTTTGGTGATGAGGGAAAGGAGCGTGTGCGTTGGGGGCTCGGGAGGAGCAGCAGGCATCGTGCTCTTGCAACTAAGAGAAGTGACAACCCACGTACCACCACTTGTTTCTCTGGGGCCCTGCTACTTGTACAGAATACACTGGAAAAAAGATCAACACGTAAAGGTGTGTGGCTACCTAGTTTTGTGCTTTATTGTGTATGAGGTCCACTGGCTAACCAGAGTGAACTAGCGTCTGAGAATCAGCATCTACAACAGGGCCTCACAGAGTGCCACCCACAGACTGGTGACTACTTGGACCATGACAGGAGAAGCACAAAAACTAAGAGTCAGGGCTCAGACACTATTACAGGAATTTGGCATTGCCCTGGCATCCAAGAGAATGAGTCTGTATATTACAGTATTGGTTTGAAAAAGGTTAGAAAGTAAGCAAACAAACAAAAAACAGCCCTTCACCACAGGAACATGCCCCTATAAAGCTCTTGTGAAACATCATGGTGAGAAATAAACCTGTAATCCAGCCATAAAACCAAATCGTAACTTGCCACGTGAACTGCTATCTCAACTAGTAAGCAATATACTACCTCTTTACAAACTCAACTGTGAATATGTAACACTTTGGAAATAAAACTTTGTTATTAGAAAATTAAGAGACATGCACTTACCTGATTAGCAGCGCCATCGCCATATAAAGTCAGACAGACCTCATCTTTTCCATTATACTTACAGGCCAGGGCAATCCCAGCTCCCAGGGGCACCTAACATCAAGGACGACCAAGAAAAGAACCACAGAAATCCATGAGGGGGGATATTAATGCTCTGAATTTTACTTTGAACACAGAATCTTAATGTATTAGAAAGTAAATGAAACAATGTAGATATGTTTATACTATTAATTCTTCATCATTCACTAACTGATGAGAACAAGGAGGACTCCATAATGACAGAAGTCGGCTTCAGATTATTACTAGGCCCCTGAGATCCTATCACCTGCCTCCTCTAGTTTGGCACCAGTGTTAGCATTGCCCAGGAGCAGGGAGAGGTAGGGCAAAGTTGATTTGATAAAGCAACTAATGTGCTGACAGAGAAAAAAGGATGAAAGTATAGCTCCACTGCTAGAGGCTCTTGCTTACTTATAAAACATAACATAATAAACATCTAAAAGGAAAAACTTTAAATCACCATCCAAATCTACTTATTAATTGCTCAAATGGAAGGGTATGAAGCAACAGGTCTCTAAAAGCAAACCAAGCCCCTGAAGTACTGAAATACTTCAGAGAGAAGTTGTCTGGGGGGCTGAAAGTTTTTGAAGACATGGGCCAAGGCCCACCCTAAGGAAGCATGCAGTCCCCATCCCTGACTACCTGAGCTCCGACGATGCCATTGCCCCCGTAGAAGTTCTTGGCATACATATGCATCGATCCTCCTTTCCCTTTAGCACAACCGCCTCTTCGCCCTAGAAATGGCAGAACATACACAAATGCATCAGAAACCAAACATACAAAGTACACGCAACCATACCCCAAGTATTTACTCCAAGGCTCAACCATTAGAGCTCAGAGGCCAAGTCAATCATCTAAGCATCTGTCCCTCTGTGTAAACATATGTTCCTCTTTGTCTCCCTGTCCTTTTATAAGGAAGGTTAGACTAGTCCCATGTCCTTGACCTTTCCAACCTTTCCTACTTGCTAATCACTTGGTTGCCTTCAGATGTTAGTGTGGTACCCTGGACCTTTTTTTTTTTTCCTGCCATTTACAAATAACTTCCGACTTCTACACTGGTACACTAAATAGTTCAAGAGTTAAGGGACAAAGAACATGGGAATAAGAAGAGTCCCAGAATCTACAGTGCACACCATGAGTGCTTCAACCTAACTTACTTTCTGTGACTGTGAGATTTCTGTTGGCATGCTTAAGTGATAACAAACCCTATTCTGATTTTATAGCTCTAAACTTTTTCAAACTTTTACCTAAGGGGCCAGATGACTTCACAAATGATCATTTACTCAAAAGCACAACAGAGGTACCAGAGCACCAAACCAGAGAATTTGGGGGTTTTTTTGTTTTGTTTTGTTTTTTAACTCAAAAAGGTTTACTATTAACTCATAACAGTTAGCATCTTAATGGAAGATATTTAGAAACTTAATTCACTCACTTCCCCTTTCTACAAATACCAAACCTGTAAGCTCTGCAAGAATTTCTCGGACAGAAAGGCCCCGTGTGAAGGTAAAGCCGTGAGCCCGATAGGCTGTGATGAGATGGTCCGTGGGATTTATGCCGGCCTCCAGGCCCACACAGCAAGCTTCCTGTGTCAGAAGAAGAAACCATGAGGCAATACAATACATGTTTCTGGATGAAAAGATTTCCTACACTGTTATGAAACATTTGGGCTAGTAGAACTCATCATTAATAACCACAGAAAGTGGCTACTTTTCATCAAAAACTGAGGTGAGGGTAAGGCCCAAACCAGAAGCCATAAACAGGCAACCCATGGATGTGCTGTTTCCTTTAGCTTGTACAGTGATTTAAAAAAATTCCTGAATTAGATGTCAACATTAAAATATTGGGGTGATGTCACATGAAAACAGACTTCTGTCTTCTTTTGGAGAAACGAACAATAGGGAACATTAGCCCCTACTTCCACATGGCACCAGCTGGCTGGAACCAAGTCACGGCGTCCCGTCTGGGTGGGTCATGCCCGTCCCCGTGCATAACTAGTCCCTGTCGCCCTTCTGTGTGTTTTGTATACCTGGCCTTCTTCGCTCATTTATTCTACTTGGCTGGACCCTGTACATATTTGAATTTGTAACCCTTTGCCTAAACCCACAAAACAAAAAACAAGCAAAATAACACTTTCTCCCAAAAGTGTTTTACAGTACAAGTGATCACAATGCCAGAAAGTTTTAAAACAGTAAAACTCTAAGAACAGGTATAGGAAATTGACAATGTTATGTATGAATGAGTTCTTTAGCCCAAGCTTCAGAGTGGGGTTTGGCTTTATAATTTTTATTCTAAAATACCAGTCTCAAATCCTTCTGACACATAAGACAGGGTAAAAACCAATACATACAAACTACTTAAATACCTAAATGACACAGTTTTATTACAAGCCTACCACGCACCTGACCATCACACAAGTGACAGAAACCACGGATAATTTTCTGTTTATACAGCTGATCTGCCTTTAACTCCATTCGGCGTACAGTCTGCATCATCCTGTAGTATTTCAGTCCGTCCTCCCTCGTGAGCACTGTCGTGACGGGAGGGCCCTCTTCCAGCCGGTGAAGGTCACATTTCTGAAATGGAGTAAGGCAGTTATCTTCTAGTTACTACACTGCAGACTCAAAGATCAAACTCCACTGAAATAATACTTGAAAAACAGCATAGGGGCATATCAGAAATGCTTCATATATTGCTTCTGATTCCTTAAATCTACAAACCTCACCATGCAATGGGGTAGGGTTTGGGGGGAAGAAAATCTTTCTAAGATGATTTTTACTGAAGAACCCTAGCAGTAACTGAGTTATAGGTTGAAAGATGAGCTTTTGAAGAAACATCTAAGAATCTTCTTACTCAGTGTTTCATTGAATCACAATCTAAACTCTGGAGTAAGTTTTTATTTTTTCTTAGGCCCCCCTCCCCCCAAGAAATACCAGCAAGCTGCTAAGAATAATAAATTCTAATTTTTGTTAAACTTCTCTGAACCTTTGCTTCTGGAATATTTGGAAGAAAATGATGAAAAAACATGAATATCAAAATATTCTAAAGGTAAAACTGTATGTCAGAATATACCCATGGAAAAATTATTAACACAAAGTAAAACACCTCCTACCTTAATTTCAAATGTAGCATCATTTGCAAAATTACGGGATGCCACCAGCACTCTGCTTGCCTTGAAATACAAAAATATACAGATAAATCAGTACTTTTTTTATTATTGGTTATTTTGGAAAGTCATTATTATTATTAATCAGTTATCAGGATGCAGTCATGGAACTTTAATAAGCCCTAACATTCATGGGCTTCTCTTGCATTCTGCTCACTATGGTGGTATCTTCCTTGTTTTCCAAAATGAATCCATACTTTGGCCAAAGAAACATAATCGTATCTCCATCTGAGGGCAAACAGCCAAAGAGAAAGATGGCAAAAACCAAACCCATCCACTTAGTCACTTTGTTTTGAAAGAAATTATAGTGAGACTATAAGGAAATTAATGGCTAAATTGAAGAGACCAGATAATCTGTGGGCTTTGTTTATTTATGCTATTCTTAGCCAGAACCAGATACCGATCATTTTGGGCAAGCTAAAGTTTCACTTTCAAAATTATACTTCAAGTCCATCATCAGATGAGTGGATATGGAAAATGTGGTATAGCTACACAATGGAATACTACTGTGCTATAAAAAAGTATGAAATACTGCCATTTGCAACAACATGGATGGACTTAGAAAAAATTATATTAAGTGAAATAAGTCAGGCACAAAAAGAGAAATATCACATGTTCTCACTTATTTATGGGAGCTAAAAATAAATAAATAAATAAATACACAAACAAATGGGGGCACGGGGAAGAAGACACAACAATCACAGTTCCTTGAACTTGTTAAGACAAGTGAACAGATATGATGTTGATGGAGGGGGAAGAGGGAGGGGGGACGGAGGATTCGGTAAAGGGACATGAAAATCAACTACATTGTATATTGATAAAATAAAATATTTTAAAATTATACTTCAAATAAAACTATGATTTAATCCCAATTCCAGGCAAACCAGTTTTTTGTGAAATGGATCTGTAAGAAAAAAACATTTTAAACTACTCCAAGTATGAGATAAATACATTGGTGAGAAACCTACAAGATGTAAGAAAGATATTTAGTACTCTCTGACTTAAAAACAATGAATTTGAGCTGGATACTTTATAACTTGAATAGCCCAAGTCTTGGGTAGACTCCTCCTGAAGCCCCAGAAAAGAGAAATATTCTTTAAACAGTGTTCTCTTGATGGTTGGGTGGCTGTCACTGCTTGCAGGTAAAAAGCTAAGGGAAATTATTCCTTTCCACTATTACAATTGAACATACCTGCTCACAGCAAAAGTATTCTGTGTGATGGCTATGGGTCAGGTTAGACCACAAAAATTTAACCAATTAGTATTACTGTACTATTTTAGACACTTTCTGCCACGTTTTCCCACAGAGACATGTAAAACAGCATGATTTCTTTCATGGAGACTTGAAGCATATTCATCAGATCCCATAAAAAGCACGTCTGATGTGTTCATACAGTGTATTACCCTACCACCCAACTTCTAGCACTGGACTTGATCTTGGTGAGAAGAGTTAAAACTGACCTGCAAGTGTGCCTCCGCGTGTAGAAGCCAACAGGCAGAAAGCTAATATCTATTTATCTCTTCATCAGTCAAAAGGCCATTATCTGATAAAGCCAACAAATGAAGATAATGACATTGCTGGAGGAAAAAAGTTTAAATACCAGGAATAAATGCTTCAGTTAAGTTAGAGGTAGAGCGAGTCCACTAATACATCTCAGAATAAGTGAAGAAAATTTAGGAATTTGGGAAGAAGTAAAGCTGAGAGGGGTGAAATGAATGTGTTACTTTTGGCAGTTAACAGATTATTTGGTTGAGCCGGAAATATTTATTGTATTACAAAGTAAATTTCCAGATACAACTACAGAAACTGCAGTGTTTGGAAGGACTTACAAGTAGAGACCAAACCAGCCAGGCAACAGTAACAGAGAAGAGGTAAATTTTTCTTAATCCTAAAGTCAAAACAATGAGGAATGATATGATAGTGCTATGTAATAAAGAGCAAAAAGTTAAGGGCAAAGATTATGACTGCCAGAAAGCTACTTAGATACTTTCTTCCTGTGTTTCGTTATTATGAATCTCAAAAAGAAAAAGAACCACTGATATAATGGGTGAAAGGAACAAAGTTAAAGAAGCTGAAAGTCCTATCAGAAGTGTGAGCGTATAGTAATTTTTAACTCTGAGATTGTTAAAAAGATAACTTCACCATTCATTTTCTCTGGAAAGCCATAAAAAGATTCTCTGCTAAATGGAATTCCTCTTTAACAGAGACCATGAACAACTCATCCGAATTTTGAAAAATAAAAAATTTAAGTTCCTAAATACATGGAAATCATTCAAGTGAAAAAGAAAAAATATTTCAAAAATTCCAGATTCCACCAGTGTAAATGAAAGATCTTACCTACTTCTTAAAAAGCCAAAAAAACACTGGTAGTAAAGATCTCACAAAAGGAGGAGTCGGGCTGGTGGGTTAGCTCAGTTGGTTAGAGTGTGGTGTTATAACACCAAGGTCAAGGATTCTGATACCCAAACCAGCTAGTAGCCAAAAAAAATAAATAAAGGAAAGGAGGAGTCATAACACAAATACAAACGATAAGACATAATGCAACTCAGTAAGAATTCTGAAAACTATCAACCTCATTCAAAAATGAAATCACAATCTTGTGATACATTTTAAAGTTTCACACCAAACACTGTAACAAGAGAATGGCAATCTATAGCCTGAGATAAATCTCCATACCTCCCTGGTTTTAAGAGGGGGAGAAAAAAACAAGAGAGATTTAAAAATGAAAAGGGAAAAAACATGCAGAGTGCAGAGTCCTGGGAGATAAGATAGGGGGATTAATTTTAGACAGAAGTGTCACAGCCATCAAACTAACTTCCAAACCTTGCCCACTTCACTGAGTATCACACAGATAGTTCGATTCTAGTTATACAAGTTTGCCTAATTTGGGTGAGCCTCTGCCTATTTATTGTGAGGATTTTTTTTTTTGTCGTTTTCGTGTCCGGTAAGGGGATCACAACCCTTGGTGGCCGGCCAGTCCTATACAGGATCCGATCCCGCGGTGGGAGCGTCGCCGCACTCCCAGCGCCGCACTCTCCCAAGTGTGCCACGGGGCCGGCTCTGTGAGGATTTTTTTTAAGACTTATATGCAAAAATGTCTTTTTACATGTATAACATAAAAATGTAAAAACCTTCATCTATTTTATATTATTTATACTTAGTAAAAAGACATGCATTAAGTATGAAAAATTACAAAATATAAAGAGTTGATGTGTTAAAGTCTATTACTCCACGCTTTAAAAAGATAAAGGCAAAAGCCTTAGTTCTCACTGTCTTTAGAAGCTTCAGGAATGGTTCCTAATTAATTAGCTCATGACAAGTACAGTTGCACAGAAAACTCCTAATTATCCCAAGAGTTTACACCTCCTATTGGGAAAATACCTGAGGGCTCCCCCC